TATTTCATTCAGTCTCACATCGCACCCCCGGAATGCCGTGGTGAACACCATTCTTTGCGTAGCTGATGATACAACTTTCAAATCTAGATGTATGAATGTAGTGAGTTTGAATCAAGTCGCGATAATCGACGTCTTTTATACTTCTTCTACTACTGCTACTACTAAAACCACTACATCGATAATTAGGTTTCCAATATAAATTAGTTAAATTTTTGCTCATTGATTGAACGTTATTTGTTTTTCTTTTCACAGAAAATCACTAAATTCCTTACCTGACCGTAACAAAAATTAACAGTTTATTTGTTTTGAATGAGAGCATGCCGCTGCACGGTTTTTGTTTCGGACCTGTTCTCGACAGCTCAAAAAAGCGGTGATGGCCCGGAGGTAATCAAATTATCATCCCGGGGATGTGTTCGAATCCCATCACCACCACCGCCTGACTTTCCCCATTACGTGTGTTGTATGGCAGCCCTTTGGTTGGCCGCTTCCGCCTTCCTGAAAATTGTATCTTTGTATATTCAATAAAAGGAAGTAAAAATGAAAAATGTTTGAACTCCAAATTGTCCCGCGGCGTGTTGTTTGCGGTAAAAATTGAATCCTAAAAGTTTAAAATAACCACCGAAATATACGATACTGCAGTAAAGAGTTACCGCTATTTGCTGACCTTTGATGGCCTCCAACGAAAAGTTGCAATCACTTCACAAGCTGTGTTATACACAGAGTTATGAATCCCGTAAATTCGTCACTCTGCTGAGGACAATGATCTCTGCTGCGCGCTCGCTCGTATGTGTGCACACGCTCGTGACCGTTTTCATTGTGCAACCTATGTCGGTATGTTTTGGCACTTAATTCTGCGATCTGCTTTCACTCGTGGAGTTCTGAGTGACAGTTTTATTTTTCAAAACCACTAGTTATGAACCTTTTTGCAGCGGTTCTGGTAGTTCCCTTTTTATTGCTTATTTGGATAAAAGATTCAAAGAAAACTGGGGAGGTTGAGAGCTCTGTCATGGTGAAAGAAGAAAATTCGAATAGAATTGTGAGATAAGGTTAAAGTTTACGTGAAGAGAAAATTGATTATCGCCGGGAGTGAATGTACAGCCCGATGATTAACTGGACTAAATTCGAGTAAGCGTTGTTCAAAGTGGTTTTCTGGGTAACTACTGAATGTCATCAGCTTTGTATGAATAAATTGTCATGGTTTTTAGTAGTCTCACTACTGAAGTAATCGTTCTAATTCCTTTGTTCGTAACCTAGTGAATAGATTCATCTCGGGCACTATTAGATTTTGTTACGACTTATACGGAAAACTAAAGGGCGGATTCTCATCGGTACACATCCGTTGAGACCAAAGGAGCAAAATCCAACCTTTATTGTCCGGGGGAAAACCTCTCTCAAATTGCATATTCTGATCTATTCTGGAGTCAAGATTGACGACTTCAGTTAGACGACTAGGGATAAAATGAAGCAGGCGTTCTTCCCTGACCAACCGTTTGCACAATTGCTTATGTAGGCTATAGCGTGTATGGACCGAGTGGGTTAAAGTGACCTTGTATATGACATTCTGCTGGCTAGTACGCCGATGCTCTCATGGGAAAATTTTGGATTTGATTCTTAGCAGAGTCGATCGGTTCACACTCACCTATTTCGAGACATTGTGAAATGTTTGGCGTCTTTTCAGATCATGAATCAAAAAAGATTAAAAAAAAACAAAAGACAAAATTCATTTTACGATCCACGGGGGGTTGGGGGTGAATAAATGTGGCATCTCCTAGAGTAATTCAGTAGCATTTCTGAATCAAAACCGTTGCTTCACCATACGTTCTCTTTTGTCTGAATCGGAGTGTTTCACATGTATCGCTCGTAAAAAGGAATAGAAAATTACCTCCGATAGTACAATATCCGATATATTCAGATGGTGTGGAAGAATCACGGTAAAAATTGAAATTACTTATTCAATCAACATACTGAAATACCGTGAGATACGTTCAAACAAACATCTGGAATTGCACCTTATCTAAAAACAGCTACCGCATTCGTTATCCGTATTCACCTCGAATGAGAAATTGTCCAATTTGGTAAATTTTCTCAGCATATGATCGCAAATAAAATAAAACCCCGTAATTCATCACTGTAAATATACCAGATGCTCTTAGAATGGGGAGCAATAGTCAAGTTTTTCTGATTTGATGGGTTTACTCTAAACCACGGCCCCAGGTGAAGATCGAATGGTATATACTAGTATTCAGTGTATAGCGAAAATCTATAGGAGGGCCTGTTTACGTTACCATCATTGCATCATACACTGACGACAAACAAACTCAAGTTAAATATGCGAAATATCCTACATTTCACACAATAACTGTAATTGAGGGAATTCAAATAAAATTCAAATTCTATGAAGCAATCAACATGACAAATCATGTGAGGAGCAGCTTTCTCGTTTGAACACATTCTTGCTCCCATTCTCACGTGGCAAATCCTTTTTGTCTTTTTTAAGCGCACTGTTGCACCATGTGCATGGCTTGAAAGGGGCGGTATATTCAACATTCCCAAGTACTACAATGCACCGGGACCGTTTGTTCAACGACGTCAAACGTGTCCAGGACGTACTCGATGCCCGGTGACTTGGCTTCCGCCGCAAGATTTGCAAGCACTCACGTTCAAATTGATTGGAACAGATGGTGAGTAAACCTTGAACTTCTGTTCATTTCTGGCCCATCGTCCCCTCTGTTGCGATCCGCGTTTTCACTTATAGTGGAAGATCGGTGACAAAATGGGATACCATCCATTTTCATTTTCTTAGCCTCTTTCAAGCGGTGGTCATATATGGTATACATTGCATATTTCCAACACTTTCTTTCTAGATGCGTCAATGAAACTAATTCATGTTTATCTTGCAATCTATTGGTATACCTTTATATGTTCAGAGTCTGAACCATCATTTCTCTTCTACTCACCAAAGAATCGTGAGTAGTCAGTTGATTCAGTTACAGCCTCTTGGATCGCGCAGTTTTAACTTATATTTTACTGAAGCCAACCGTTGGTGTGTGCTAAACGTACTGAACCAGAAAATTTGGGGAAGATAATGCGGCTTAGATTCAGTCTTTATGAATATGAAACGGCCGATTCATCTGCATACGAACAATTCGGAGCTGGTAGTTCGGGCACCTACACGTCACTTGCGATTCCAGTTCCACATGTATGCCAAACTCGCATAACGTTCACTGTGAGACGTTTCTACTACTAAATAACTATCAAGTGCGAATGACTGTTCAGTTGGAATAAGCTGCCGGTATTTTCGGTTGATATAAGCAAATCGCCCATCCAGCTGTTCATAAATTGACACCAGTTCATAGGAATAAACTGATCGAAAAAGTGTTCTGGTCTGATTGTGAACACTGGATCACGGAAATTGTAAACAAATTCAGGTTCAGTTTTTTTCCTTAGCTGTAGCATTCTGCTTGTATTCTGTCTAAGCTGGTTGGTGGGATGAAAATCTTTGCAAACTTTCATTTGAGGTCACTTGATACTCTAATGTTACTTGTTATGTTAAAAACGCTTCGCACCCATTGATTTCCATAGATGTTAATAGTGAAATGAGGCATAATCTATTCTCTACTTCTTGGATCTATCAACTGCTAACGATAGTTTACATTTGGCTCTATTTTGAACATACCTTCATCGGGTGAGTTAGCTGTTCGGTTTGCTTCGATAATACTTCGATGTTTTGCATTTTCAATTTCATGTAAAGTACCATAGAAAAGCTGATCATTGAATGGAATAGAATACGTTAATTCGTGCAATGATTGTTGACCTTAGAAATGAGTAATAAGATCAAATCGAAGCGATTTGCGGATGTGATGAATGCGGATTCAAAACAAGTGCTAAACTCCAGTTGCCAGCAGATACGCTTAATGGTGATCGTTGCTAAAGGTGTGCTGTGCATACAGCTGGATTGATTTAAGTGAACCTTATAGTGATACAATTACATGACAAGAGGCAATGACTGATATAAAAGCATCGATTTTTATGGAAATTATTTTTCAAAATGTGACATTTATGGCATATTCAGTTTTGATAGAACCACCCGAACTAAGCGAAAAAACAAGCACGAGGCTTCCATCTAGATCAAACGCAGTCATATCGAAACCAAAGGTCTTCCACCACATAATTGGATACATGATAGACAAGTATTGAATAGTGTCAAACCTTGGAGGGGATTTTACTTTAGGTTCAGTATGAACATTGTAAGGGCATTTTAAGGGCATTTCTTAAGTGAAAACTCGTATGATGTTATCTTTGGCATTTATCAGTGTAGAACAAAGGTCCATAATTATGTCGCATTTTTTGTGATTTGAGGATGAGGGAGGGTGAGAAGGTTCATATGGTGTATTGTGAGGCTTCCAGCACANAAGTCATTTTTATTACGGGTTACGGAGATGGATATGAAGCGAGAGGCTCTCGCATGCAGATGGTGTGTAAAGCTTCAGCCAAAATTGATTAACGCAGAGGCACACAAGCTGTGAGGTGTTAATCGACAATGACATCTACAAGACCTACGTGCATAACACTGTATCTTCAAATGCGTTTCATTAAACTAATTAGAAAACGGATCCGGGACGATACCAAGGGAAGAGTAAGTCCAATCACACAAAATTGAAGAATAAACAAATTTAAAGTTGTTTTCAATGTCACTCTCTGATGTCTTACGCTAGAAATGCAAAGGTCAACTTTCTGTATTCAAGGTATTTTTGTTTGATATGATAAGACCGTTTGAGATAGGCGAAATAAAACATTCGAGGTATTATAATTGATGTGACCTTTCAAAGACTGAGTGATTGATTCGCATATTGCGAACGGGTGATAATTCGGTTTAAGTCGCACGCTTAGAAATGGGAACATAGATACATTCACCACATTTAGATTCGATAAAAGATTCACGTTGCCAGTTCCTTCATTGACCGATTTGATGATCAAATGTAGTGGGCCAACAGATCATTTTTATGAGATGTACCTCCCCTCTCCGGGTACCATGTCGCCCTATGGCTAACAGGGACATTTGATGGTGTAGGGGAGGAGTTGTGAATACAAGTAGGAAAGAGGGGATTAAGTGGCGCCATGCATTACACCTTGGTCTAAAGACGCGGTGAAACAGCCAGTGCCATTGTGATACGCGAACCGATGGTGGTCAGTGAATTAATCACATATTAACTAAAACAAACTGAACGCATGGTTATGCAATGAGAATAAAATTGCTCATTAAATTGAAGTGAAACACCTAGTATCTCCCTTAAAGTCATAATGGATAATTACAATGATAATATTAGCCGTTTAGCTAACCCTACACCGAATAAAATGAATCAAGCAGAAAAAGTAGTCCTTGATAGAACAACCGTTTACGAAAACAGACTGTTCTGTTTATTTGATGAATAAGTGATATGGAATATACACTGAGCATGTACCGGTTAAACGTCTACTACCAATTGAAAATGGGTAAGAACGTTTGTACTAGGTAGTTTGCATGCGAGTTCAAAGCCACTGTAGATGGAACATCGGAACATCTGAAGATTCCTCACTACTGACGGCAATCAGTTTTTTTAAAACTTATATTTTGCTGAAAGTCAAATATTTCTGGGAATCGAGCGTTATATTGTTTAATTCTTTATTCTTTCTTTTCTTCAAGTAGAGAAAAGGTGCTCGATCAACATGGGAAACATTTGATCAAATTGTTAAGAACCAACCCCCCAAAATTCCATGAAGCTAGAGTTTGGGATCGACGCGGTGACCGTGGATCAGGAAACGATCTTCCATGAATTGAGCGCGCACGAATAACGTTAGTTACAACTGAGATTCAAGACCAACGATAGCTTGTTTGTTTGCATGGCGCATTTAAAAGAGCTATTTTTGAGCACCAGAGTAGGATTACGGATATGATCGATGGAGCAACACAGAAAGAATACTTCGGTGCATTACAGGCCTTTGTGTTGTGAGCCATCATTCGGTTTATAGATAATCCCCATCGTGCTTCGTGGCACACCCGTTAATTTCCTCAGTATCCCTTGCTCTGTCTGCGTGTGATTAGGTGGCACAATATTTTCTCGACTAGAACAGAGTAGAGCTATTTAATGGGATCGGCGAAAATAAACAGATCACCATAAAGTTTTCTCTCATAGCTCGCGAAAATGTGGGACCATTTCACCACAGCACTGCAGCAATTAATATGACTAGTTATGGGCGAGGATTTAGGAATATGGAAGACTCAAATTAGTCCAGATTCAATTATAATTTGCTCAGGAGTTTCAGACGGATCACTTGTCGGCAATCGGGTCATGGAGGTGGAGTGCTTTGGATCACACAGAAGGGGGTGGGAGGGTTGATGATCGACTACCTCCACTGTGGCTGGAATACAAAACCGCACGTGTCTGTATCGTCCCGTTTCAACTCTGCACAAGGCTCGGAAGGCTCGGTCACATTTACGGCGTGATGTGTCAACAAATTTGAGTCTTTCATAATAAAAATTCTTGACCAATTATGATGTAAACTGTTGAACATTTCAATTGTCTTCTTTTTCCTTCGTAACTCCCTATCCGTATCTGGTCATATATATATATATATATATATATATATATATATATATAT